AGCCCCCTTTAAGTAGATAGAATGTGGATTTGGGTATATTTTTATAACAAGATCCCCATATACCCCATATTCTACTTAAGGGGGACTACATTCTTTCACGGCTTCAGGATCCTGGGGTCCAAGTTGCAAGACGCTCAAAAACAGCGTAGTTTCCAGAAGCTACAAAACCATTTTGTGCGTCTTGACTCTCCGAGCTGCAAGTTGGAGCTTCCTGTTACATGCTTCCCGATGCACATGATGTACCCACTATACCCAATATGAGGGATCACAGACCCGCACCGCAAATCCCAATAATGTTGGTTTAGTTGTCCCATGTTGTCCCCTCTCCCAGGAATGGCTTGTTGTAATACGAATATAGGAGGACCTGAAGATGGTTATCCGTCTTAGTCATGGTCACTAGTGCAGGGGGTTCAAGATCTCAGCCGCTGCCCTGAACTTCAAGTACCTTCAGATGGGGGGCTGGATGGAGGGGAGGTGCTCGGGGGTTGGATGGAGGGGGAGAGGTTGGATGAAGCGCTTGGATGGAGAGGGGAGGGAACTGGGTGGGAATGCTTGGAGCGTGGATGGAGGGCCGAAGGAGGGGCTGAGGGCAAGGATGCAGTGCTGCATGGATGGATGGAGAGAGGGAAGGAGGAGTGGGGGTGGAGGAGGGGAGGTAGGAGGGGTGGAGGGGGAGTGGACAAAGGTGGAGGGGGTGATGCCGAACCGAACCGAATCGTCAATAGCAATACCTAGCAATACTCTATCAACTTATTATCGGTAGGTACAGTATCGGGTATCGACCGAATCGATTCATTACAACCATGCTAATGTAAATACTTGAGCCCGTATTAAATTTTAGGGGCATTCATCGCGGGGCCGGAAACTTAGGGGGCATATTTTTGGAACTCTTTTACATGGATCCTTTTACAACAAAAATCAGAGACAATTGAAGTCTTCCTCAAGGTGATCCATAATCCTTAAGAGTCAGGCTGGGGACCGCCTAATTCAAATGATCCGAACCCTAATTAACTTTACTATTGGCCCTTTTTAAAACAGTCTGGGGGGCAGATTTCAGAATTCGAACTTCTGGGGACACGCATTTAACATTAGGGGGATACGATACAGGATTATAGTATTCTGAAGTATGTATGCAGAGAGACTACCAAATGCAAATCCCTGAGCTCCAAGCAAGCTCTCAATATCGGGCGGGGCCACCACGGCCCCGCCCACCACCCATACCTCCTCCTGGTCGGGTGATGGCCAGCTCCTCTCCAGGTCTGTATATTATAGTATATTATAGTATATGATAATATATAATATATAATAGTATATAATAATACACTATAGTATACTATAGTATATTTTAATATGTAATAGTATAGAATAGCATATTATAGTTGGCTTAAGGTTGAGGACGGTTTGCATCCCACCCAAAGCTTCAGGGACCCTTTTGAGAACACAAAGCGGACTTCTGCGAGAGGAAACAAAAGCGAAGGCTTTACATGGTCTCATGTGTGTGTGCTATGCAATTTTACGGGGTCACAGCAGAGGTGCCTCCTAGAAGTCTTGTAAGGTGAGCTGAGGGCTTGGCAGACCTGCAGACTTTGTTGAAACTTCAACATTTCTACAGCCGAGAGGGCCTGATTCGTGGGGATGGGGGCGGCGTTGGGCAGGGGGCTGCGTCGTCAAGACGTGAAGGCTTCTTAGCATTGGATCTCTCTTCATCTTGGGTCCCCAAAAAAAGTCAGGGGGTAGCGGTCTAGAAAGCAGGGTCCTTCTTTTTGGCTCCATCCAAAACACATTAAGGAGGGCCTTCTATCATTGGCCTGGACCCCTTCAAGCAGCCGCCAGAATACATTCTAGAGGGCACTTTCACCAAAAGAGGTCCGTGTGTGAATCCTTTGACAAATGGGAGACTAATGTGGACCCGTGATTAATAAGCCCCCTCTTTTTAAGGGCCTGTACATTAGGATCCCTATCATCATCCCATTAAGAGGAGGGCGGGGCTTTATTAATCACGGATCTACATTATCAGCCCAGCAAGAGAAGAGCAGCGCTCTTTTGCTTCGAGCCCAAGCCCTTACTCAGTTCTGGGCTTGCTCAGGCCCGCAAGCCTTTTCATCAGTAGCAGTAACATCAGTACGTTATAGTACTAATAGTAGTGGTAAAAGTGATAGTGATTGTAGTAGTAGTAGTAGTAGTAGTAGTAGTACTAGTAGTAGCAATAATACTAGTAGTAATAGTAATAGAAACAGTAATAGTAATAGCAGTAGTACTAGTGAGAAACAGCAATAGTATCCTTAATGATAGTTAGATGTCAGACGAAACTATTGCATGAGCATCAGTTTGGCTGTTTCGCACAGGGCCCGGGGGTGGGGGGGTGAGTCCTCCAGCCAATCCGGCACATCCGTGGCCTCCGGGTCATCCTGGCACACTGATATGTCTGGAGTTGTTTTGAGGATCGAGTGCCACATAGTGAAACAGGTGGACTAGGACAAAAAAGCCAGAGCCTGCCATGCAACCCCAATGTCTGCGGCAGCATGCTTTGATAAGATGGTGACGTGTGTTACTGGCAGTGTCTGAAGCCATTGCAATCGCCGTGTCTTAATCAACACTCCGCTGTAGTGCAAGGCCCTGGCCAGTCACGTTAAGCTCAGCATGGTGCACTAGGCACTGGCAGGTTGGACTCGGTAGTAAATGAAGAGCTGTGCTCACCCTTGGATCACTTGTTCATACCATATGAGAAACCCAGATTCTCTAACTGTCACGACAACTGCGCCCTGCCCGGAATGACTAGAGAGTCATCCAAGAACCAGCCGCAATGCCTTCTTTGCATCTTTCATCGCGCGGACGATGATCTTCAAGTTTGACGCATTGTCCCCTGGCACAGAAGTTTGATGGACAGTATGCAGGCAACTGCCTCCACGAGTCTAGGGGAGGAAGCTTTGCTACACAGATCCCTTCCCAACCCTGAACCTGTAGCATATTCGTTCATGATGTGGCCAACGCGGTTAGAAGAGGACAGCACAAGAGACTTGATATTTTCAAGGTTGAACGCGTGCCAGTGTTCTAGTATTTTCACTTGTGAAGGCGGAAGCGGTGTGCGTTTGTCGTGGAGGCTAGCCCTCACATTACAATGTGTATCCAGTGGACCAACTACCTCTTTGTAGGTGCAAACTGATCTTACCGGGGTTGGTAGGGAATAAGGGAATAAATTCATAACCCCTCTACTATAACATATTCCCTTATTCCCACTAACCCCCAATTAGTGAGAGGCTTGACGGTGAGACATAGGCCAGTTTTTGGGCTGGGAGTACGAATGGGCTAAGGCAGTCAAAACTTCTGTCAAAGTTCACGTGGGCACACCAAAGCCTTTCCTTATAGGACCCACTGGCATACCCCAACGCAATCCGCTCACTGTAGAAGGATGCCTGCTAGAATACAAGCCCGGAAACCAGCAGAATTCGTGCAACGCCTAGGTCTTTGACAAACTCCCTGGTCTGGTGGCAGGGCGCATTTCGACACGAAGGATGTAGCCCGACCCTTGTTGCCAATTCGCCCGGTCCTCCACGTTGTAAAGAGGGCAGGAACATACTTAGCATTCACAATCGTAATATCCTTGCCTACATTACATAAAATAGCCCAGGTACGTTCGATATACGCCAAGCAGGCACTACCCTTTTGGGGACGCTTTTTCACAAAAGGAAAGCTACGACTTAGGGCCCAAACTTGCACAGCTGAATGATCTGGCAAATAGAATATGTCAAGATAACTTTTTCACAATGACTTGAGTGGGAGGCCCCTTTGACAAATACCACCCATCCAGGATTGAGACGGATTGTCCTTGCGTATTTGATTGCAAGAAGCAGAGGCCCAGTTGGTCGCAGGTCCAGGTCAAAAATACCCTTCCACGTATAAATGAGCCTGCGGGCCGTGCACGCGGAAAGTAACAAAAAACACTTCTATGACGCACTACGTTGGAGGTTGCAGAAGCTAAAGGCTCAACTTGCGCATGAATTGCTGAAGGCTGGCAAATTTTGCCTTTGCGAATGAGATCTGGGCCATTCGGTACTGGAAATGATGCGTGGTAAAGGAATGTCCATGGTCTGTAGATACACATTTTACAGCCAGGTAGAAGGATGCTTGTACTTCACGAGGGGAAAATGCCGTGCCCTCTCTGAAAGGCATTGCCTCCCTGGAGGTCTCAATTCCAAAGCGCAAAGGTCTTGTTGAAACTTAAACCCTAAACCCTAACCCTAAACCCTAAAACCTTAAAATCCCGGTGTCCGGCCGATGCGATGGACATAGGTATCACCTGCGGCGGACTTACAGCTTCAGGTCCAGCAAGGTAGGTCTGGAATGGGACTCGTCGCTGCTACTTGGAGGGTCAGGGGTCACTTAGTAACTAGGGTAATAAGGGGGATAACTGGGGTTACTATATAGGTTTTAGGGGTTATTAACCTACGTACTAAGTCCCCCTGACCCTCCAAGTACTTCATCTTTATGTGTGATAGGCTTAGAACAGACCTGCAAAAGCCATCAATCAGCATTGCACGATTTTCGTGCAGAATTGCCACTTTCGCAAGATGTAAACAAATCCCAGCTGAGTGTTGTTGCTCAAGGTCAACTTCTAAAGCGCGATTCAACCGCTAGGGTTTAGGGTGTAAGGATTTCTGCAAATGCATTATGGATCTGGGGCTCGGATTTACAGCTTCACGGTCGGAGGCTTATGCATGCGCAGTTTTTCCCCTCAGAAGCCAGCATTGGGCTCCTAGTGCAGCCTAGATGCTCTTCATGAAGGAGCGCCTGTTTCTGAACATCTACATTTCTCAAGCCTCTGGCCTTGAAGCCCAAACCCAACGCCTTCAAACCGCAGCTGGGGAAGAGTAAGAACACCTGTCCAGAATGCACAATTTTCCCCGCGAACTTCGTCTAGTGAGTCCAATGCAGAAACGCAGCAACTGAGGTAGGAACCCCAATGACAGTCAAAGTAACGATGATGACAACAATGATGAAGTCAACGACAACAACACCAGCGGTAGTAGCGCTGTTGCTGGTGGTGGCGGTGTTGTTGTTGGGGTGGTGGTGTATTGCCAGAACTAGTAGCAGCAACTGCTGCTGCTGCTGCTGCCGCTATGCTGCTATTAGTCCTCCTACTGGTCCTACTAGTGCTAAACATCAACGGAGCAATGATGACAAGACAATATTGACAACTACCCTCGCTGAATGGCCAAGGCCCCGGCCATCTGTAGGCAAATCGTAATTGACGACATGCTCGACACCTGGGAGGTCAAGCCCTCGCGCTGCGACGTCAGTGGCCTGGCTCGGGCGTGGATACAACTGCTTCCAACACAGACTAGAGTCTCTAGCGATGCTTCTTGCAAGTGTTTCATTCGCTGAAGGCCTGTCACACACACACACACACACACACACACACACACACACGCCAGGGGCATAGTGCTGGAAAGCGTCTGCGTGTAAGTCTTGCGGGGTCCACTTTTGGGTTGGGTTTGGGGTTGGGTTTAGTTTCGGGCCATCAAGGAGTGGCACAGAATAAGGATGATCGCCACATCAGCCAATATGAACATAAGTGAAGGCCATGGGCATAACCCTGGCTACAGTATGCCTGCACTACCACTTCTGCCCAACTCAATGGCATTGATACGTGCCCTTTTGAGTCTCATGTAACCTTGTCCTGCTGGAAAGCCCTGTGACCAAATTGCAGCAACTAAAAAAGAGATGTCCATATCAGAATCTATCTGCCTATAGTCCCTCCTTAAGTAGATATAATATGGCTTTGGGTGTTCTATAATAAGACCAACATATACTCCATATTCTATCTACTTAAGGGGGGCTATAAGATTACTCCCGCGCTTTGCAACGGTACCGTGTTTCATTTTGGCCTGCCGCCAATGTTGTTACGAATTCCTTTTGGAAACACATCGGGCACCAAACAACATTGCGAGCATCAGAAACAGGAAAATTCTGAAAACATATGAAAAGGCTTCACACTTTCCAGTAGGAATTGTAGTAAAGGTCAGCACGTCAAGACCTGAAACGCGGTACCTTCAAGAACAGTGAAATGTCACAAGCAAAGCTGAGAGACAATACAACCCCGCCAAGCTGCCACAAGCACATTGAACCTGCCGCGCTTGAGCAAGTCTAAAGCTCGATCTCTTTGCGATTGGTTCAAACCTGCGCGAGCTGAGGGAGGCAAATGCTTCAACTGGTATACCGCTTCTGAGTTAGCAAAATGCCAGTGCACCAACATCATCAACCTCACTTGGAATCCACGCACTTCATCAGAGCCAGTGGAATTTTCCATGCTGAAGTCCTTCGGTACTAATTTGATATAGCCTGTAGAAGCGCAACTTCCATGCCTACGTAAGCCTCGACTACTGCAGTATGAGCTCTACACACACAAGGGAGCCCCAAGAGCAAACAGATGTCCCCAAATCCTTTGCTCGGACATAACTATATGTACCTCAGCTTCTCGCAAAGGCGCCAGAATTGACCAGGCCCAAGCATGTATTGTCCCTTGGCCCTCCCGTCCGATGCAGTACTCAAGCTCGGAAAGCCGAGACTGCACGGTAGAACTAATACCGTAGGAACAGCTGCTATCAGCAGTTAGTTGCAGTTGGCAGTTGTGTAATATTATCAGTGTGAGGCTTGTACCAGCATCAGGATTCGTAAAAAACAGCACCAGCGGGCAATGTCAAGCCTCCATGCATGGGCTGCGCAGGGATTCCGTCATTCTGCAAGCTCCAGGCGATGTCGTCAACGGTGTTCTGAAGGTGCGGGCGTGAGGTCAGGGTTCAGCTGGTGTGAGGTTTCAAGTCAAAGGCCCTGAGCTGTAAAGCCAACACAGGCTTGACCCGTTAAGTCGTGGCAAATACGATATACAAGATGACCTCGCTGACTTCCGTCAAAATTTCCGAGATACTCGGCTGCTTCAGGGCACCAAACGGAAGGTCTCTTATTTGAAGTCATGCCTGGTCTGCTGCAATTACTACAGCGACAAGCCCAGCCTTCGTGTTCGCGAAAACAATTGTCCTGCCAACCTTGCCGTCCTCATCAGTCACCTGCCCAGACCCCTTAAAAGATCCAAAAAATGGAACCCCCACAAATGAACCCAGTACTACTCTGGGAAACTGGGGGGCTATTAGGGGGTTCCATTTTTGGGGATCCTGTTGGGCATCTGGGAAAGGAATTTGGTAACACCAATCTCCCAGATTCGGTTTTTTTGGGTAGAAAGGGGATTTTAGTAACCCCAGCCCCAAACACAAGGACCCTATAGCCCTCATATGAGCTATAGTCTAAACTCCTTAAAACTTAAAGGGGGATTATATGGGGATTATACAGGGGACTACTATAGGGGTTATTAAGGGGATACTAGGAGTTTAGATTATAGCTCATATGGTGTTGCAGGCGCCAGGAAGAGACCCTGGCAAGCTCGGGATGGGGAAGAAAACCAAGACCCGATCACGCACTTGGGAGCGCCGAAAGGCTTGGTTCTCGAATCCTTTTTTATTATTATGACCCGTATTACCGTGATTCCGGATTCCTACTACTACTGTTCTTCCTAGTACTATTATGTTATTACTATTGCTATTGTTGCTGTTGTTATCATTAGTATTCCTGCCTGCAGGCGGAAAGGAATGCATGCCTTTGGCGTGTGGGCTCCGAACGCCACTACCACCAAAATCAGCTTATCTTGGAGTGTGATTAGTGTGGGGGGACCCCCCCAAACAAAAAGGGGAGGCTCTATGACAAAACAGGCCCCACACAAATTGAGGGGTCTGGGGGATCCTATGGCTCCAATTAAAATCAAGAAGGGAATAGGGATCCTTCCGCGTCCATGAAATTCATAAGGACTTGAAGAACTTGATTTTCTTGGGACCCGCAAATCAATCGAATAGGCGGTCCAGAATAGTTTTCAAAATGCTTTACTTTCTTTGGGGAACCCCGCACTTCTCGGGATGCAACATTACATGTCTATCGTGCAAGGAAGTCAACCTCAAAAGACCAAGTCAAAGAGCAAATACATACGTGTACCACCCCTTGAATTCCAAGGACAGACTACTTGCCTGGCATGAATGTTTCGAGGCGTGCCCGTTTAGTCCGCAAGATCTAGCTGTTTCTAGCGGAGGCAGCTGAGATTGTTGAACCTTCAGACGCCGTACATCCTTAAAACACCCAAGCCCAAACCCTGAAACGTAAACCCAAATTCAAACCCCAAACCCTACACTCTGGACCCTAAGGCCGCCACACTTAGCCACCAGCGCTAAAGTTCAACAGTGCTGCCCCGAACTCCCCCCATCACATCCACTACCTATAGCTCCAAATCATGTCCGGCACTTCGCCCTGATACCCACTGCATGCAGCGTATATGTCTGTGCATATTCATGCGTGTGTATGTATATATATATAATGTATATATACATACATATACGCATCCGCCTTCATGTGCAACACCAACATATTTCCCCCCCCCCCCGCCCCGCCCCCTAAACCCTAAACCTAAAAAAACTAATCCCTACCCCCAAACCCCTCCCTCTCCCTGCGGGCTTTCCCAAAGATGCATATTGAGATAGTTTTGGGGTCCCACATCTGCGACCTTGCTTTCTCTGGAAGAAGGTAAGGCTACGGAATATCTATGGTATCTATAGTCAGAGAACCCTCAACCCTAAACCCCAAGGATAATGTATGTTTTTTTGTGTTTTGGATTTTTATTCTTTTCGATGAACCCCGCACCAAATGTGCTTCAAAGTTCCAGGGGAACTCACAGGTCCTGGGTTCTTTTTTGAAAAGGAAATCCAGTACGTACTACACGTGCTTTGAATTTAGATCTCATGAGAATCCTGCTTTCCTGGGTCTCGACTTTTCCACATGAACCACTTATCAACTGTGCTTCTGATTCAAAGACTTTTCTGTACATAGATCCCAAATAAAATATGCTTTCAAACTTACAGGGGAATTAGCAAGTCCTGAGTTTCTGCCTTTCTTTGTAGAAATTCCTTACTAGATGTGCTACGAATGGGTTCCGACTTTCACTTTACAGCTTCCGTACGGCAAGACGGAAATTCTCAGGTCAGGGGTTCCTGAGTTCTCCGAATAACTTCGGCGTCAAATTGAGACGGAATGCTCGTACTTGGCCTTGATTTGATTGAGATAAAGCCCTTCCTAAATTGAAAAGGCCATTCTCAGTCCCTGGGTGCTTCAAATCACAACCCGAAACCCTAAAATCAACCAGGAATCTCTGATCTTGGGTTCCCGGTTTAAGGAGAAGCTCCTGACTTCAATGCTTCACTTCGACTGGGAAACTTGAGCCTGGTTCTCCTTCCTGGGCTCCGATTTCCTGTTACAAGCCCCTTACTACATGGGGGGCCGTCAAAATTGTGACCCCTTTTTGGGGTACCCTAAATATTAGGTGCCGCATTATAATAAGGATCCAAAAAAGGGACCATACTTTTGAGAACCACCCACAGGTTTTTCCAGGTTAACGACGAATTCTCAGATCCTGGATTCCTGTGCTTCTTTGTATAGATCAATCACTAATGCGCTTCAGAGTAGAATTCTCTTTTCTTTGGCCTTCATCTTCTCCATATGAACCATTATCCAAACTCCTAGTATCCCTATAGTAGTCCCCTACATAATTCCCTACTTAACTCCCTTTAAGGAGTTTAGACTTGAATGTTTTCAAGAAGCTTGGTAATGCGGCATATTTTTATTAATACTACAATTATTTTTCTCTACGAACCATTCGTTCGGATTTGTTCGGAACAATTGTTTTCAATTGTTTTGAACATGTTCGAAAATTGTTTGTCTAAACTTTAGACTATAGCTCATATAAGCCCCTTGGCACATGTGCGAGCAATTCTCAGATGCTGTTTCTCTGCCTTTGCTAAGATTACCGGGAACCTCACCACAATTCCGGATTCTTGCGTTTCCGGATTTCTGTAAAATTCACATCTACTTGAAATTCTGCCAAAATTTTAGGTCCTCCAACTAAATTGGCTTCCTGGTACCTCCTCGGGATGTGGCAACAGTTGGGTTGAAAAGCCGGAGGGGCACCAATAAATTGAGTTTCGAGGTCCTCTTGTTGCAAAAGCCTGAGGAGGCAATTGCCACAAAGCTAAGACACACAAGAATTTATGGAAGGCCTGTGACATGCAGGTTTTGGCGATATCTTGGCTCCCACACCTGCAATAGCCTAAAGATATGTTCTCATGAAATGCAAGCACTTTGCTGTTGGCTCTTTTGGTACTCCTCAGGTTTGGCAAGGCTTCAATCAAAGCATTGCCAAAACCTCAGGATTCAGCACGCAGTGTTTTCAACGTTGCTCAATTTCTACGTAGGAGAATGTGATGCAAAACCTTTCATTATGGATCTCGGGCAGTATACATATATATATATGTATATGTGCATTGCAAAAAACATGTTAATGGATCCCTGTAACAGCATGCCGAGGGCTCCTGATGCAATCAAAACACTCTCTAAAAGAAAGTATAACCCCAATATACTATAGTAGTTTCCATTTTCTTTTCCATTATCCCCATATAGTCCCGATATATATATATATACATATTATATAAACCCTAAACCCTATAATAATCATCTCTCTCGAGCTCCCAGGGCCTGTTTGAGCACGTCTAGCAGCCGATCGTTCTTGTCTCGAGGGCCAACCTGCACAAACACAGCAGTAGAATAGTAACAATTAACAGTAATAGTCATGATAGCAATTATAGCAAAACGACTAACAATAGGAACAATAGTAGTGAGCATAGCAATTATATGAGCCTTCTTTCAACATTTTTTCTGAGACGTGCCGGATGGTATCGCTTTAGCAGACCACGAGGCCGGGACCCAACGCGGCGTTGTGGGCAAAAGGCAACTCAACATGTCAACGAGGAGCATGTGAAGAAGCACACGCGCTCAGCCAAGCGGCGTACATACAGGACAAGGCCTTTTGGGCTCTCTCAGTCATCACAAACCAGCTGCTCCATTTGAGCTGTCCTGAGCCCTTGATGAGGGGTCAGGCCAGCTGACTCAACTTGCCCTGTCATTTGGCTTTCAGCGGCCGGGGGGTTCCCTGAAATTAAAAGGTTGATAACATGGTTCGCGGCCGCAAATCGCTTGGCTTCTGCACAGGCCTTGCAGTACATCCTCAAGGAATTGAGGCTTACAAAGACTGTGCAGGTTCAGCTTGTTACGCCTGATGTTAAGTCTTGCAGGACAGCCTGTCATGAAACGGCATGTCAAAGGAATGGGGCTATACTTGTGATAGCCAATGACAACACGAGCGGCTTGCTCTGCGAAACGGAGTTGCTTCCTAAAGCCTACCTACCCCAACTTTGGACCACAGTGCCTGCTCGAAGAACTGCTCGACATCCGTCGCTGCGTGGCCAACCTGCAGGGAAGGTGAAGAACAGTTTTGCTGGACGCGCCTCTAGGTCTTCGTTTCTTTTTCGAAGGCCTACCGCAGGATTTGGGGTATTTCCATTTACATGAGACTATCTGAAGACTGCATTGGACCAGCAACCAACAAGCACGTGGAGTCGACGGCATTCTCCGTCGCGTCAAAGGCCCAGCATGTCTGTACGTCATGGGGAGCTATTTGCTCGAGTAGTCTACGATGACAGTCGTGTCCAAGCCCTATCCAATCCTTGAGACCTTGCAGTAATGCATCCAACCCGCATAGCCTGGGATGGCACCTCATCAGCGAAACACGCTTCAGGATACTGCTATAGCAGATATTAGAATCAGCAGCAGCACGTTGTGTCCATCATTTTTTGTATATGGCGAGTTGTGGCGCAATCTTGACTCTTTTCTGCATGCTGTCTTCGCATCAAGGCAAAGATCATGTAATGTAAGCATTAGCCTCAACCTCAAAATCCAGCCCTCCGCGGTCATCGAGGCCTGTCCCACCTTGATGCCATAATAAGCCTGAGCTGCTTGGGGCTTTAGGCTGAGGAATTCATGGTGAAGGTTCTGAAGTTAGGCTCCTGGCCTGGTAGTCAAAAGATGTCCGCCATATAGCATCTGCTGAAACGACGGCCCCAAAAACAAGGCCATGTCTTCTCAGAGCCTTGTAATCTGGGTGAAGGGCTCAAGACTCTGTTTACGGCCCACATTCCTAGACAGCTCTGTATGCCTGGGCCTGGAAACAAAGGAAACTTATCTTCCTCACGCAAACGCAGTGGGGGTGATTTTCGCAAAGCAAACCGGCGCCAGCAATTGTTGCAGCACATCTGTACATGGGGCAGCTGGAGGTTTTATACTCCAGTCGCATCATGTGCCCTTTTTCCCGTGCATGCTGCTTGCGTTTACTCAGAACTGAAAAAGGTGATCCCCCGAAACAACAAAAAGGCACTTGGTCCCAAACGCAAAATCCAAGTACTAGACCCAGTTTCCAAAAACCCACCCCCCTCAACCCCTATTCCCCTGGTCCTCACTTAACCTAATCCTCGTGAAGCCACCAAAATCATCCTAGAGACCGGATCCAGGAAATCTAGGGCCATGTCCTGCATCTCCTGAGAGCAACATGCTTTTCTTGAAGTTAAGAATGATCCTGATAGAAGTAGTAGCCTGTAGCAACCGTCGGAGGATCTTAAGTGTCGTGGGACTTGGCCTCTTCATCCTTCTGGGTTGGGATGGATCTAGGTGTAGGACTTGCAGGCTCGGGACCATATTGTTAGCTGCGGCAGTGAATGACAGCTTTGGCCTACGTGCATGTTTGTGGATTTTAGAGATATCTCGGTTTTGGCTTTTGCGATGGACTGTGCAACTGTTTGGCTACGCCTTCGTGTGATTTCATGTTAGTCACTTTATGAGGAAGATGGGCTTGTGATTTGGATGCCAAAGCTTCAAGCCCCTGACTTATGGCGCTCAAACCTCGGCGAGGTGAGGTAGGCACCCAAAGTTTGCATGTAACATGTAAATGCCCGGGCTTGAACTCCGGGCAGCTTGGGTGAAGTTCCGCGTGAGTAGCAATAGACTGACTTTTGCTTCACACACCCTGTGGAAGGTGGAGCACTACGCGCGGAGTCTAAAAACTAAAAATCGGCATCCACTGCCAAGAAACACGCGAGCCCCTGAAGTGCTTGATTTCTTTGAACAGCGTCGGATCCTTTTCCCGTCCCTTCCCTCTCTCCACCCTTTCCCAAGCTGCACGGCCTGAGGGAAAGTCGCCGAGAACATCATTGTTTGCCGCCCGCCCTGAGCAGCAAGTGGGTTAGAAGTCTGAGATAACGTTGAGGTGCGCTGGCTTGGAGGTTCGGATATAACGGCAAGCAAACAGAGGCTAGCTCACGGTAGCCTGCCTCGAAAAGATAACATGGGGAGCTTTGCCTAGTAGAGGGGTCGCCTGTGAGTTCTGCCGGAGTCGCTTGTGACTTCGCACATTCTCTTGTTGCGAAAAACAAATCAGATCTGTCATCGTTGGGATCCTGGATTCTCTGACCCTTCAAAAGTCGCATGCGTGTGCCCGCCGCATCTCATTTTCATTTTCTAAGCCCCAAACCTTGAGAAAACTTCTAAAACCCCAACCCTTGAACCCTGAACTCCGTGAACGGTGGCTCAGCTCTCGAAACCTCAAGGACAACCCTACAGCTTAAACATTAACAAGAATGCCTAAGCCGTGTACCCCAAGTCCTTAGCCCTAACTCTAAGACCCCATCCATCAACCCTCACCGGCAGCCTTACACGCCAAACCCTAAAGCACCCTAAGCTTCATACCATGTACCTGCACTTAGTTGAACCCTAAATTCAGAACCCTGTAACACCCAAAGCATGCATCCCAAATCTCCCAGGCTACACCGTAAGCACAGTAGCCCTGAACGCCAGCCTAAAGGCCCTGATCCATCAACCTTATACTTCTTTCTCAACCCTATAACCCCATAGACCTTGCACCAAGACCCTGAAAAGCCTGAACTGTCTGCACGAAACCCCGAACCCCTCCCCAAGAATCGCAACTGACTTCGGGGGCTTTTGCTGAGATGTGTAGCAAATTCGCATCTTCGAGAAATTGCAAGTGACCCCTGACAGAAGTCACAAGCAACTCTCCTCCGGAGAAGTCACGAGTGACCCCCTCCATTGTGTTACCAGCATAGATGAATCTAGGCTGACCCCATGAAGTACCGAAATGTCGGATGAGACTTAGGTAGTGCCTCGACGACTGCCCATTCTCTGCAAAAAGCTGGAGAATATCGGACGTTCCTAAACCTTATAGCTTGGAACTTTTCCAACTTCTCACAGGATATAGGAGGTAGTGATAAACAGAAATCCGAATTCAAGAAAGCGGATGTTGGGCTTGCTCCGCATCCCTTCCAAGCTGAATCTGCTAAAGACTCTTTCTTGTTCCCCTTCGGACCCAGAACCCCCTTTTTGCCAAGGACCTTGGGCAGCAAACACCAGACCTGCCACAACCTACAAGCAACCAAAAATCAAGACCTGAACCCTGATAGTCTTACAGCCTCACCGGGCTGCGGCATACCATATTCATCAATGATGCGTCCTTGGCAGGATATTGTGAAGTGCGGGTTTATGATGGTGTCTTGCTGGCACGAGAAGGCACCAGTTTTGCTGCATCCTATTTAGTGCAGTTGAAGGCCGAATGAGTTGTGTTCAAATCGGGAGTTCTCATCCCACAGTGACCCGGCTAACCAATGGCTTTGATGATTTGCTGGCTTCGCATGTGGCCACCGCGTATAACAGCCTCCGCAGTCTTTTGGAGTTTAGCTGTTGCCTTAGCAGGCACGAAAGTCCTGGCCTCAAAGCTCAAAAAAATATCCATCTGCCGCAACATCAGCTCTACGCGCCTTCTTGGTTCAGATTCACTGGCAACGTTCTTATGGCATTATAAGTTTCCTTAGGCTTGGACGTTTATCGAATCTTGGCTACCGCAGCCGAGCGCTAGCTTCGTGTAAATTTTGCTTTTATCTGGGGGCAGTTCAGGCTTAGCCAAAGCATGATGCAAGCTGGAATGCCTGCGTGGCAGTCCCGGGGACTTTTGACATCCCTCAAAGCGGTTCCTACTGTCTGGTGGTGTTAGAGGTGCTGCCACAGCAAATTGCAGAGTGCTTATGGCAGTAAACTTCATGAATTCATAGGCACCGCGAAGTCCTCAATGTTCGACCCTAGAGTCCGCAAGACCCCAATCCCGGTATAACTGATAGAAAGCTGTCCCAGCAGCGGATTTGGGGTTCGAAGCCCATGTCCAACATTCTGTCTGCTTCATCCATGACAAGGAACCTGAGCCAACCATGGGTCAGTGCGGGATCTCTACAATGCTCAAATAAAGCGTGGTGGACCTAAGGTTGCGGATCTCAAACTTAAAGCATCTCCATGGGGCCATTCCACGCATAGAATTCAGCACAGGTAGGATGACTGAGCTGCACCATTAGGAGCTTCAAGGTGCAATTGAAGCGAATTTGGCGGAATGGAAAGTTATGTACCACAGGCCATGCAGAGACCGGATTCGAGAAACATGTCCATGCAGCTCGCAGCCTCCAACTCATAAACCTTTTGCGGGAACATAATAAAATCCTATATCCCCCATATAACCCCTATATAATCCCAGTTTCCATTTCATTTTCCATTTGATTCTCCATTATTGGGGTAATAATCTACACAAAGTCTGCGAGGTGCCTTTGTCAAAATTGACGGTCTACAGAGGGTCGCTCGAGCGCCAATTTTGAACCCTTCACGCCAACCCTTGACATCATTGTTCAGGATTGAAAGTAAGGATGTGTAGACCTTCAAGACCTTGAGTCACGATTTCTCCAGATTGACAGAACTCTGAGAACCGTAGTACCGAAGAACATTTGATTATTTGCTGTCTGCGGCACTTCACCTCCTCCATGCTGATGACCTGGATAGCAGCTTGCGTTTGGGAAATAAGGAGACTGTGAGTATACATAGGTGTATGCATACATATACATGCATGTGCATATGCTACCTTCCCTGTTACCCGACCTTCTGGGCCGTTCGGTCACGGGAACAGAAATCAACGGTGGCGGTGGCGGTGGCGGTGGCGGCGGTGACAGTGGCGATGGCGGTGGGGTCGGCGGGTGTGGTGTTGAAGTTGGAGGAGGACAGAAATCAAAGATTAAAGTGCGCACGATCTTCTTTAAGCCGCATCCCCCCAAAAAGATGCCGTCACGACTACGAACATGAATCGACACAAAGGTGAACCTTAAGTTTATCCAAAAAATGAGGAAGAACTGGGGGGGATGCGATACATGTGTGGGCACATGTTTGTCATGGGCTTTGGGTCCGTTACGCCCGAGATGAATGCGATCCCGACGAGAACAAACCCTGAATCCAAAGACTGGGTTGCTTTTAAGGAACAAGTTAAAATTATTAGTCAAATTACTACAATGAGGAAAGCCTAGTACTACATACCCAGAATAACCCCATAAATCCTAAACCCTTAACTGCAGAAGCTTCTGGATTCGGGACTCGAATCTGGTATTTGGAAAGCACCCCTTATGATCAAACCTGCACCACCCTAATAACAAATGAATCGAAAATAATACCACGATATGAACTCTATGATTGGGGGAGTATTTAGTATTATAGGTGTCTGAGGAAGTTCGTTTGTAAGAGGCAGGGGATTTGGGCTAAGCCCTCCGCCGCTTCGAGCGTCTTTGGGACTTAGTAAGAAACTAAATGAGCCATAAGGGCCATAATCTAAATTCCTCAAAGGGGGTTATGACGGATATTTTATAGGGTACTACTATACGGATATTGAGGATGATACTAGGAGTTCAGACTAGAGCTCAAGTAATGGGGATAACTAGGCTCCTCCAAGTGACCATCTCCTTGCATTCTGCAAAATCGACTTTAGCCGTGGTCCAGTTTTCTTTCAGTCAGGCCGGCGAAGCTCTGGCACCCTTTCAAGACTATAAAGCGGGCCCTAAACCCTTTTTTGTCACGGACTGAAGACGGAGCATCTGAAACCCCTGAACCCCTAGCTGTGGGCAAGCATCACAACCTAGCTCCAAACCTGGTGCCATGCTTTTAGACTCTGCTTGATTCGGCTTACCTTTAGGCACGAAACCCTACATCCTGACTCCATCGATTCATCGATGCTGCGTTAAACTACAAAGACGCAGGCCCATGCGCTACATATTCATAGGGGCACTCATGCAACCCCGGTCCGCTGCGAAATCGTCTGAGAAACGTTGATAGCAAAGCGGCTCCCCGTTCCAGGAAGTCGTCCATTCTCCCAGGCGAGCAAACAACAATCTCCTGAGCAGCTTCGTCTTGCATTTCAAACAGTGTGGTGTGGCTACGTGAAACACGATTTGAATACGACCCCTTTCATCAAGGCCCTGTTGCTGCGGCAATCCTCCCCGTAGAGCCCTATGCTCGCTTCCTGGTCTTTATGCTAAGGACAAGAGGAATTTTGGGGGCTATATTGGGTTCCACACGTTTAAGGAAACTACCATCCTCCTGTAGTATAACTACTGTGCGGGGCCTTAGCCGAGCCATAATTCGAATCACCTTTCTGTAACAAACCCTTCGCCGCCCCCAACGATGAATGCTCCTCCTGTTTTAATGGTAGTATTGGGAACATGTACTGTTGGGATTTATTTACGCGGAAGGGATGAAACTGTCCGCTAATCTCTAACTCCCCTGGGTCAGGCGGGCACATTATAGGCAGAGATCTCATGTGGAACAGCCGTTGTAAGAATGGAAAGGATAGAATCTGGTCATACCTTGCTTTCCATCACTTACTTATATGTAAACGTAAGATACAGGCAGATAGGATCCCGCCTTTCTCATACTTATGACAAAAGTAGCCAGGCCCGCTAAAGGATCCAAAAAATGGAAGCCCCTAGTAATCCCCTAGTGTCCCCAATGCAGTAATGGGTTCATATTGGGGGGGAGGGTCCATTTTTTGGATCCTTTAGGGGGTCTGGGCAGCACAATATTTGCAAACCACGATACGACCCCGCCGGCTATTTGCCGCAGCTGTGTGATCGCATCCTGGCCTGATTGCATGTTTGAGCCTTGGGGGCCATAATGATTCTAAATAGTAGTGGGACCTTTCAAGTGGTATATCCGGTTAATATAGTGACGTATGGACTGTAGGACGCAAGATTATTCATTGACATAATTACCGACATGGTGATGTAGGGGAAAAATGTGGATGCAAGAGTTTTTGTCGGTTAAGATAGTTGAGAACGGAATGGAAATAAGGAATGCGTAACTGAATTCAAACTGGGTTCATATAGAAGCGTACAGGGCCTGTAGTTCGGGAAGCCTGAAACATAATCAACACACGTTTTCCCTGTAATTCTGCTTTCGGGTCCAACGTCAACGAAAGACACCGATACCTGGGTTGGGGGAGAATAGGGCTGTTGGGCAAAATATACTATGTATAGCTGTATGGATGGTTTCCCCAGATTGCCCCAAAACACAATTTTGACAACCCACCATACCATATACAAAAAGGTAATAAAAAGTTGTCGACTACTCAGAGTTTATGTTGTCACCGCTTTGAGCCTAAGTCTGCGGAGAATGCGCTTCCCGGCTAAACGCCCTAACCCGTGTATCATCCTGTATCCTTGACTTGCAAGGCCTCGTACATTACCATGTCTCCTCAAAGGCTTAGGGTTTGCCCTGATTCCCTCATGCTGTGGACCTCCGTAGACAGCAGCCACACGCACAAAGCTCCTGAAAGTCAGCCGGCGGGCCTGGCAAGCGTTATCCACGGCATTAAGGGATCTTTTTAAATGAGTAGCATTTTGTTGGTGGTTGAACCTAGTAAGATTATATTCCTTATATAAGATACTATACCCCAAAAGGAGGATCTAATCTTACTCCATTGCGCACCATAATATCCCCAAATAAAATACTACTCAAATGGGCTTTAGCCACTTGCATGAAGAAGGGCGCCGGGTTTTGGCTTCAGGCTCTGAGGCTATGTTCATCCCGCTACCGCAGATTGCTTAGTTCAAAGAGCACCCAAAGTCTTGAATCACCTTGTGCAGGAGCAGGTACGCTGCTGGCCTGTTAGTATTACTAGTACTATTCCTCCTCATCCTGCTGCTGCTGCTACTACTACTACTACTACTACTACTACTCTTGCTACTCTTACTCCTGCTACTATGATGACTTGATGAGTACAACTACTCCTGCTGCTGGTAAAACTACTACTGCCGATGATATCATTCTAGCTATGACCCTGTTGCTACTGTTTGAAGGGATCTCAATGATCTGCCAGTCTAGACTCTGGAACTGCCCCCCCCCCCCTCCCAATGCGAAGAGCTTTTTGCTGTTATGGCTGCTGCATGTTAAGGCCCAGCAGCAGGTCTCCGCCCAACTTATGGAAATACTCCAGAAAAGAATGTACGGACGATGGAGGCCCTAGATCTGATGACCGTATTCCCCCTGCATCTAACCTACATCTTTAGACATGGGACCTCCTGGGCGATTTGCTCACATAGCTCGCCTTGCACGCCGCTTGGTCATGGGCACGGGTTCGGGGGCTGTTGATACACAGGACCCACCAGACTGAGTTGATTGTGTAGCAGTTCATGATCAATGTCTCAGACCGCAAGCACCAAGCTTCCTGGTCAGAGCGCATGAAACCTCGTGGCACAACATTACGTGCATCTCTCATCATCTTTGTCGTGGTCAGGCCGCCACCTAAATGCACTTGTGTTTCGCGAACGCTCATATGAGCAAGGCGGATGTGCATGATTAAGCTGTGTTTCCGCCTCTGGCCACCAGATGAACCCAGTCTAGGGCACCTAAGCGCAAGAAGAGCCCTTATCCCAAAAGCCGGAGCGCGCGTTGGCGTCATGATAACGCACGTGGGGCAAACGGCCCCCTCCTGTTCGAGCTCCTGCTTTGAGCAATGGCTGGACAGTATTGCAGCAAAAAGGTCCAAGTACGGATGCCTAGCACTAAGCTGCATGTGCACGACGTGTTAAAACTGGTCCTGCATAGAGACCTCTGCGAACCTCCTGCCCTCATCACCTGTAGGTAATAACGCTGTTTTCACATTGGAATGCAGTCACATTGCCAAGGCCAAAGCACTGTCAGTCCAGGCATTTGCGTTACGCGGCAGGTGTTCGTGCCTGCTTCCAAATTGGCCCTTCCAAACTAACTTGCTCTTTTCTTATGAAGCGTTCAACTCGGTTCGGCTAGGCTCATACGAAACAAAGACTTCTCAGGAAGCCTGTGCTAAGGTCGTACTTAAACTAGCGTCTTGGCAAAGTGTAAGCCTTATTGAGCCCCAAATCGCCTTTTCCCGGCGCATGAGAAGCCCCAGGTCCTTCTTGCCCGCTTGCAAGGCAGCTGTGATGATAGGCACCTGAAAGAAAAGAAGGGGAAAATCGCAAGGAATCGACTGGGTTCCTGCTAAGGAACTTTCAGTTAAGTGAGCATAATGGGTACATATTGTAAGCAATAGGGTTTCCCCAATATAGCAACTTTTGGCTCATTCCTCCTTACAGTAACTGTTACCACAATGGGTTATAGGAGTTATAAGAACCCCTTTAATAAGGCCCCTTTAAGGACAGTTACTGGGAGGGGGAATGACCCAAAGTAACTTAAATCAAATTCCTTAACAACCCAAATGACGGAATGGAGTGCAGGGATGTTCTGAAGCTGCTGTGCGGATCCCAATCTCAGCACCCGTGAAGCAAATAGAAGTTAGTCTTTTTCAAGGCTATAGTCCCCCTTAAGTAGGTAGAATGTAAGGGTTATATTGGGATAATGGAAAAGAAAATGGAAACTACTATTTAGTTTTTAGGGTTTAGGGTCCCCCTTATAAGTAGATAGAATATGGCTTTGGGTATATTACAATAAGACCGCCCATGTACCCCATCGTCTATCTACTCAAGGGGGACTATATCCACAAAGCACGACCTGGTCAACTTGGGTTATGCGACCAATACCTGAACCTCAAAAGCAGGCATCCATAACACCATGATTCTACATCGAGGTTCAGGTACCCCTTTTGCAACATGAGTTTTCAAGGACATATTGACTCCGCCCGCACTTGCTGCATATGGGGAGCTCCACAAATTAGGGGCTCCTTTTTGAGATTCCTATCATATTAGGTTTTAAGGCTGTAACACATTGGGGTCTTTGTTTGTGCTGTCAACTCAGCTTTGCCCAAACCTAAGCAGCCCTGCACCCTCAGCCGAACGGGGCCCAGGCCAGGAAAGCCGCAGTTTTTCCACTTCCGGTCTGCGCAGATACCTGATTGGCTTCCCAGACAACTTTGAGACCACCAAGCAGTGCGCACCATTTGGGCACTGGTCTTGATTCTCTTGATCAGGCCTATGGCTGAGAGCATCATTGCAGGGTCTGCTTTCCGCACTGTGGCATGGTGCTCTTGCTAGAAGATGGAGCGACCCTTTGCCGCGGAAAGCTGTTGACAGTGTAGCGGTGGAGTGCAATGTAACAGTTTCCCAAAATAGGGGGACCCCAATGCCCCAATATAGACCCCAATATATTATAATCCTTACTATAGGGACCCCCCAAAAAGGTACCCATAATTTTGGAAACCACCATGTTTGCAAAATGGACCGTTCCGTTCCCCACAGGATTCAAGGTCTGGGACGAGCCTAACCGTCATCTGGATCCATGCGGTATCTACACCAGACTCATACCTCGAATACGGTGTGCAGGGTACTAAGTGCAGGATACTCCATATGACTCTGGCCCTGGGCTCGGAAAGTTGCGTCCCCCTGCCTGCTTCTGCAGGCTTGTGTCTTGGATTAAGACTGTCATTTTGCTACCCGAAGCCTTTACAGCATCTGAAAAGCTTATCCGCCCTTGTAGACGAGCACTTAGGAAGGATTGGGCTCCCTCCAAATACGACTCCGCTGAAACATGCACAAAGAGAAGTCCTTGTGGGGCCATTCTCGGGCGTCATGCTTGTTTCTAGGAGTCTAACCCTTGTATCCTTGAAGTCACTGTCTCGATGCAGGGTGTAATGGGAGCTGGAGCTTAACAGTTTGATCGGAAACCGAAGCCTTTTATCAATCATCATGCTACAGTCTTCTCGGGCCTAAAGCGCCGCAACCCCGAAAGATCCGCTCTTGCAAGGGCATTTGACCGAAATCCAAACCCGACTTCATTCTGACATTTCAAGTACCATATTGCATTCAAGGCCACTCCGCCTTACGCATCCTCTTCATGCCGCCTATGACACCTTAAAAGCCCTTGCAGCTCGAGTCACCATGACATCACTTCCTGCCAGAGTTGGGATGCCGTTGGTGAAGACTACAGCAAAGAGCCAGAGCTTGTTTGGAGTTTATGTGAGGGGTCAGGACCTTTTTGTTCCAGAGACATAGTCTGCTTTTACGCATCAAGCACGGCAAAGACCCACAGCCACACCCAATGGGTACCTGCTCCTGGGATGCAATCTGCCTGTACTGCAGCCTACGAGCGATGGCAAGTACCACAGCATCTTCAAAGCATGTCGAGCGGCTGCTTCAACACTTTGCTTGGCTACGGAGATAGCGGTGCATGAACATACAACGCCATGGAAAGCGGGCCCGTTTTTGCACAGGGTCCGGATTGATTAATACGGAATTATGCGCCGAAACTCCTCATCTTGGGGCTTCGCGCGAAAGCCGCGTTACAGAGCCAGAGGAACAACAACAGGGTCAGATTCCATTGAAGGCGCACATGCTGCAGGAATAGTTTTGTGGAGTCAAGGTTTGAGGGGTATTAGGGCGAGTAGGGGCGCCTGAACACACCAACAATGGTCAACAACTCAATGTAGATTACCAACTATGTCAACGTCGCCTTCACACTGGCAGCCGACTTATAGAAGCAAGATGAAGCAAATTCATGATGCACAGCATCTTCGAAATCGCATGGACCCAACGCATCCCCTCAAACCTCTGTGCAAACCCCACAAACCCTTGACAAAATCTGCCCCAGCCTTCGAGTACTGCAGGGATGCTGTACTTCTGGACTGGCGTGGGGGTGTCATAACCTGCAGCCCGGTGCACATACAGGCTTGTGTACCTGCTTGCTGGCACTTTCTTCGGCCTGAAATGTGCTACTAAGCACTCGCCTTGGTCCGTACTCCAAGTTTCCGAATACCAAATGGGCTCTTCAAAGGCCGTTATAGGCGATAGCTGTCCTTGCAAGAGCGGCTACCTGGGCCTTATGTCCCACTTTGTTGGGATATGCCCGGAGGACAAAACCTACACGCAAAAGGGCATCCAGGTTCATCCCTGATCACGAGGTAAGCATACCTGCGAGCTTGTCCGACAGGACTCCGGGGTTCTGGCTTTTCTGACAGCCCAACCTTTGGGATTTCAGGGTTCATGGCCCATCTACCGGCGAGGCTCGACCTCTCACTCTAGGACCACATTGCCCGAAAATCAATTTTGCAAAGTGGCCACAGCGCTGGAGGTTGGCCGTAAGCTCATCCGGCAGACTGTACTTCTCACAAGCTTCTTGGAACCTGGGCAGAATAGCGTGGATGCTTCTGCTGCTGCCGCTACTGCAACGCATCTGCTACGGCTACGGGCTGCCGCTGCTCCCCTGACTGCTCCGATACACTTCTAGCACCACATGATCATACGGATCACGTCCAGCCAGCATGTACCATCGACTCGCCCATCATCCTTGCAGCACAGGCACGACGCAATGGGCTGCTCTCTCCCGGTGCCACCCTCAGGTGTAACTTCGATGCTGTCATACTTGGAGAAGTTGATGCCAGCTTTCACATGGTTTTCTCCGAAGATCCTTCTCTCTTCCATGTCCCACTCTTCATCTGACAGATCCTGGGCGACATCCATGCCTATGAATTCAAGGGTTCGCGCATGCCATGACGACCCGCAGAGGAAGCTCGGAACCAAAAATAACCCTAAAGCGTAAACAGTGGTTTCCAGTTTCTTTTCCATTATCCCAAGATAACCCCAATATACCCTAAACTCTAAGCCCTGAGACCCTTAATCCCTAACCCCTGTAATATAAAGACCCAGTCTCTCGGCTACCGCCTCGCTGCAAGATCTGTCTCTGGAACATGAAGAACTGGTTCGTCTCTCTCTCGCGTTTCATCTGCGTTCGGCGTTGCTGTTCGTTGAGGCCGCCGCCATTGTCATAGCCACCATAACCGCCACCGTAACCGCCACCGTAGCCGCCACAGGCTCTTCTCCTCTGCGCCATCTTCAGACCCCAGGTGCACCAAACTCACATGGATTTCTTCACAGGATTGAAACCCCAAAGCGTGAAATGAGTTCTGATCTAAACGAAGTTGCCCGAAAACATAGCGATGAGTTGTTCTGTGGAGGTGGTTGTCTAGTAGCAGAGCACGGCTTGATGTTGGATTGTTAGGATGGTCTGAGGTTTGTTTGAGGGGATGAAGTGAGGATGATATGGTAAGGTCGTGGTACGGTTGTCGTGAGGTATCGGATGGGATGTCAGGTTGCTGTCATGATGTCAGGTTGTCGTGAGATTTTTGTGATTTTGTGAGGTTAGCGCTGATGTGTTGTTTGTGAAGTGTTCGTATGGGTTTCATGAATCGCGAGGTCGTGGCTCTATGGTTCTAAGGAATAATACTTTGCTTTGCGCACCTCTGACAAAGTGGTGCGGTAGTACGGAGGGGGAGTATGGCAGATCCGCCAAGGTCTGCCATGAAGAAGATGCCGAGCAAGCTTGTGTTACGGCCATGATTGAGATGAAGCAGCAAGATGAAGAAGCATTCAGACTTGAGCAGACTGGGCAAGGGCTTGACATGTTCACTAAGTGCAAAACAGCGCCGCTGAATCTGCAGCATCTGGAAATATCTGGAATTGAAAAGCAAATTTTTAAGTAAGCAGCCTCGGCCTGGATGCATCCTGCCTTTGAAGTTGATGGTTTGATGGCTTCGAGTTTAGGACCTATCAGTGTCCAGCAGTTCGTACCGACAGAAGCATAGATGGAACACAAGCAGTAGGATGTTGTAGGTAGGATGATGTGAGTTCAACCGTCGAGCTTTCCCGAACAGTCCAGTCCTCCCTGCGGAGCGAGCGCAAGCAGCTACGGCCAGGGAAGCCAAGCAGAAGGACGGCACATCGTAGCCTAACCAAAGGGAATTGAAAAGAGAGGCCTACAGATTCTTTTCGCAGAATGGTGTGGCAGTTTCAAAGGTCTGGTCTGGATTGTTGATCGAACCGAGTCATAGCCAACAACGAGGGTCAATGCATGAAAAAAACTCAAAGTAGCGACTCACCTATGCAGCGCTCCACACCCAAAAGCTCGTGTAGATCGGTTGAAAAGGCTCAAGCACTAACCCCACTCATTGACAGCTGGCTAATTTCTATTATATGACTATAGAGCCCTTAAAATGATCCACAATATAGACTGTTACCTTAAACCCTCTATCTATCAACATATATATATACATGTCCATATATATATATAGATAACCCTGAAAACTGTTACATGGTGGGACTTTAGCCAGAACCGTAGTAATTGCAATCACAGGCCGAGGGTACAAGTTGAACATGAAGCAACCCGGTCCATTGGGTCCTGCCCCTCTGTAACAGTGTATATTCGGGGTTATGTCAAGAACTATATACATAGGGTTTAGCGTAGCAGTCCATGATAGGGGTCATATTAAAGGTGAAACAATCATATTATGCATATAATCCAGCTGGTTACTGAGTGGGGGCAGTACCCAACCTATCCATCTTATCATCCAAAGCGCTTTGTCCCTTGGCTTGCCGTTCAGGCAGGACGACGGGCACACGAGTCTGCGCCGGCAGGACACCAGGCGCTACGAACGCAGGGGCAAGCTCCTTAGTTGCTCCAAGGCACTGCTCGCCTCCCTTAAGCCCCCTCCCTCAGGATGATAAATATCCACCCCGACAGAAAATGGTACTATATCTGTCGTAGTCATGATCGGGGGGGTATATACTCCCTACATATACCGAATATAACCCCAATGCATACCCAGGCGATTGAGTCTTTTGTGTCTTTCAAGCCTGGCAGAAGTAGCACAAAAACCATCAATACGCTAGAAAGTACGACGGTTTTCAGAGCGGACCGGAGGATTCCCACTACTTTTCAACCTTTGGGGTTTCAAGGCTCAATAGCAGCACAAGTGAGTGGTAGCGGTAGTAGTCGTCGTAGTGGTAGTGGTAGTAGTAGCAGTAGCAGTAGGAGTAGCAGTAGCAGCAGCAGCAGCAGCACTGGTGTGTTGTGTTGGTTGAGCCTAGCGCGGTTATACTTCTCTTACAGACTATAACCACAAGGAGGATACAATCATACGATAGATTGGAGCTATAGCTTTCCCAAACAAACGACTACAGTAGATTGGTTTGGAAGTTTGTCCTCCTAGTTTTTTCTCTTTGGGGGACCGCTTGCTCCTGCTGGTCACCGGCTGGCATCCTACGTTAAGATGCATGTGCTGTTTGCCTTTGATTTCTTGTAGGAGGAACGCCGCAGCATTACATGCATCTTGGATGTACTGCGTGCAATCAGCTAGACATGTTCAAACCTCTGGCAATGAAGTGATTCTTGACCATGTCTACAGTCTACAGGAGGATAGAACCCATGGGCCACAAAGTACAAGTGCAACTAATCCCCTACCTCTAATATTAAACCCCCACACCCCCCTAGCATGAAATACTCCCAATATACTATAATTACAATACACCACATTATGGGAGTATCTAATATTAGGGGGGGGCGGGGTGGGGGAGCTTAATATTGGACAGCAAGGTTCCATGGCGGACACTGAGCACAAAATTGGCCGCCAAGGGAAGCAAGCAAACTGCTGAGCCCAAACTGTCGGCAAAATTATTCACCCAATCATTTTCATTGTCGTCGCTATTGGTACCTTTGATGGCTTCTGCTATTGCTGCTTAACTTTTGCATGTCCTCTGTATTTCATCATTTTGCGTGCGCCTTGGCGTTGCCCTCATCTTCACTGCGGTTGTCATTCAACATCGCTCTCTCGCTGTCTCCCTCATATTGCTTGCCATTGTCCAATGGCTCACGATCTGGGTGCTTATGTAATCAAGATCTTCATGGCCACGGGGGCCGTTCGGCGTGTTGCAAGCGTGCCAAAGCTATTTTGCGTTTAACCTTCTCAGTCGTGAAGACAAGGACGATCTTAGTCATTGATATATGACAGAGTGTGCCCTTGCATTGCCTGTAGGCTTTGTGGGACAAGTTTGGGCACAACCTCGTGGCATAACCATCTGCTGGAACAAGATGGGCTATCTTAAGTGTTACGGCCACCATGTGGCACAGCTCACGTTTTCGCTACATCAGCAACAGCAATGAACGAACAGCAGCAGCACTGCCCTGGCTGCGTCCTCTACAAAGACGTTTCCATATCTGACAGGGGTTGCCAGCAAATTTACAGCTGCTTGCAGCATTCGTACGTCTAGCACCATGACAGCTCCTGAGAACTTAGGCAATACTACGGTTCACATACTCTACGCTCAATATCGCTGTGCGAATGTCAGCATGTACCTAGTACCTATAGTCCGAGAAGTCCCTACAGTGTAGACCTTCGGACCCTTTGAGGTACCATTACCGCTAGCTGGCCACGGCTTGGTATCCGCGCGGATCCTTGGAGGCCTTGAAGATCTTTCGCGCATCTTCGGCTGCCGAGATAACCTCAACGGGAGCAAGATCAGAGGCAAGTATTGGCATATGGGGGGCTTCAAAGACATCTTCGTCTTTTACAGATCATGATTCACATAGCGGTTGTGGTAGCAGTAGTAATAGTGTAGTAGGAGTAATAAGGCTAGTGGTGCTAGTAGCAGTAGCAGCAGTCTCAGTAGCAGTCGCAGCAGCTGTAGCAGCTGTAGCTGTAGCAGTAGCAGTAGTAGCAGTAGCAGTAGCAGTAGCGGTAGCAGTAGCAGTAGCAGTAGTAATAATAGTAGTAGTAGTAGTAGTAATAATGGTAATTTTATTAGTAGTAATAGTAATAGTAATAGTAATAGTAATAGTACTATTAATAGTAATAGTAGTAGTAATATTAATAGTAATAGTAGTAGTAGTAATAGTAATAGTAATAGTAATAGTAATAGTAATAGTAATAGTAATAGTAATCGTCGTCGTCGTCGTCGTCGTCGTCGTCGTAGTAGTAGTAGTAGTAGTAGTAGCAGCAGCAGCAGGAGTAGTAGTAGTAGTAGTAGAAGAAGAAAGAGAAGAAGAATCAGTAGTAGTAGTTGTAGTAGTAGTGGTGGTAGTGGTCGTGGTCGTGGTAGTGGTAGCAGCAGCAGTAGGCGCCCTCTATCAACTATGTGACTAAATTAAATGTTCCCAAGCATGCGCCCTGCAACAAATTGGGAAATCTTCACTTCTGTGATGCGAATGGCTAGAGACTCAAGAAGGATTGTCGGATATCTCCATCATGTTCAGTAGACATGCCAGATCGGAAGTTGAACCTTCGGGTGGGAGCCCAAATGTCCGAAAACAAAAAAAATCTGCATGCGACATGCCCGAATCCTTGGAAAGAAGGCTTTCGGGGTGTAAGGCTGCAAGCAGGGCTCGCCATTTGCTTCTAACAACACCTCCTGATTCAAACCCAGGTACGCAACTCTCTGCTGTTACACTACGACTGCTACAACTGTAGCTGCATCCCAACCTTCACTTGCATGTCCTGGAAGGTCTAAGACCATACTGACAGGGGAAGAGCTTGAGGAGAGGATCCAGCAAAGACCGAAAGCAGGCGGGGTTCTTCGAACTACGTAAGGATACCTTAGCTACTACCTACCTTACCAGGGACCCTCAAGGGGCTCACAATTCAGAACCCCCCCCCAGTTCTGATTCCCTCCTCCGAACTCAAATCACCAAACTTACTGGTGGTTGGTAGGCAATATAAGGGAATATGTTATAGACGAACTTTACTTCTATGGGGATATATAGGGATTCTATTCTCGTCTTCCCTACCAAGGACCAGTAAGCAACGCTTGGGCCACGGCTAACTTCGGCCTTCCCAGCCTCAAACCGCGAAGGTGCTCATTCCTGTGAGGCCTGACCTCTTTCTTACCTGTTGCTACTGCAATTCTGGTGATTTTAAAAAATTTAGGGTTTAGGGTTTAGGGTATAAGGAGACTCAATAAGACCTCTGTAAGGCTCTGTGCACTTAACCCCGTACTGCCCTGAACCCAAGAATGGCTTTCTTACAAGGTCTTCGCTTGCTGCTACATTGCTTGGGATTTCTA